TACGGGTTTTAACACTGCTGTTTTGCTCGTGGATCGAAGCCACGTGCACAGAATCGTCCTTCCTCAGTCCAGAAGTAGTTGGTGCTGAGTCGCTCTGCAGAGTGGGAGCCTGCCTGGAAGTCAGCATCCTCCCACCAAACCTTGCGTTTGCTTTCTGGTCAGCCACCTGGGGGTTGTTCCGTGTGGTCCTCGCGTCACTGGACCCCCAAAGCACAGCGCGGCAGGAGCGAGTCAGGTGGGCGCTGACTGCCGCGCCCCAGACCGGCCGGCAGGTCAGACGGACTCACCCCCGGGGGGCCTGCAGGGCTGTCCCCTCCCCCAGCTGTCGCTGAAGGTCAGTACGCAGTTGAGCGTGCACGTGCAGTCTTAGCAGGAACCTGGGGTGACGGGGAAGCTGACTGAGAGATGGCGGAGTGGATCTGTGCCTGGAGGGGTGGCCGCCCCCGCCCTGTGGTGAACGGCGAACGTGCCCGTTTACGGATGAGCCCTTCCGTCCGTCCGTGCCGGCTTCGGGGCCGGCACCGCGAGGACGCTCCTGTGCGCAGCCGCTGGGCCGTCCCGTGCTTGGGGGGCTGCTGTGCTCTGGTGGCCTCTCACGGCCCGCTCTCTCGTTCACAGAATGCAGTGACTTCTCGCCTCCGGTGACTGTAATCCTGTTGATCCTCCTGTGCCTTGAGGGTCTTCTGTTTTTCACGTTCACCGCGGTTATGTTTGGTACCCAGATTCACTCCATATGCAATGACGAAACGGTACGCTTCCTTCTCCGTTGCGCTCGCCCGGCATTTGGCTTGAGTGAGTGGGAAAGGCCAGCGGCCACAACGGGTGCGAGTGTACTAACTCGGGAGGTAGGGCCGTCTCCATAAGCTGCGGCCGGCTCCCCGTGTTGGTCATTCCCCTGTCTGTGCGCCGTGCAGGTTCAGGGATCGGTTGATTCGAGAGTCAGCAGAGCCGGGCAGAGAGAGCCAGGCCGAGTCCCGGTGTCTGGGAGACCCAGCCCCTAGACCAGCTGAGTGGGGGCAGGGACCCGATGGCCTTCATGCCTCCGCCCTGGAGGGTCTAGGGCAGACACTGGGTAAAGGTGTGTAACAAACGGAAGGAAGGCCGGTGCCCCCGCCCAGAGGACGCGCTCCGCCCTGCCACCACTATATGCCGGTGGCCCCCGGCCGGCCGTGTCTCATGTCGGTTTGGCCCGTGGCTGCGGCCTGGATGCACTCAGGAGGCCGCGGGGCCGGCCCGGCAAGGAGGGTCTGCTCTGCTGACCGCGAGGCCACACGTCACCTGAGCACGTGCCTGTCCCACGGAACCGGATCCCACACTGTGGCGGTTCCTCTGCCGTGACCGCGGGGCCCGACCCGCGCGTGTCGGGGGCTTTGCCGGTGCTGCCTGCCACCCACCTGCTCTCCTTTCTGCCTCCAGGAGATCGAGAGGCTGAAGAGTGAGAAGCCGACGTGGGAGCGGAGGCTGAGATGGGAGGGGATGCGGTCTGTCTTCGGGGGGCCCCCCTCGCTCCTCTGGATGAACCCCTTCGTCGGCTTCCGGTTGGGGCGGCCGCAGACCAGACCCAGGAAAGGAGGCCCAGAGTTCTCCGTCTGAGGCCCGTCGGCGGACGCGAAGGGATTCAGTCGAGTCCGGAAGGGCGGCGGCAGCTCACCTGTGACCAGTAGGGCGAACGGAACCGACAGACCAGTTGCCTGCAGCAAGCAGTTTTATGTTTGTAGTCACAGATCGCAGACTGCCCACGTCAGCGACCGGGGGCCGGTTTCCGCCTGTACGACTAACAGAAGGTACGTGGCCGCGTGAAGAAGTGTCACGACCTTCCTGCACACTTAGGGTTCTGGTTCGGGACACTGCATTTTCTAAGAGGTTGTGTGGGGTATTACATGGGTTATTAAAATCCTGTGTCCTCAAGCTGCTTTTTTCAGTCATGAAGAGAAAAAAAGTCAATCCAGTGAATGAGAATTCTCCAGCTTAACGGTTTCAGGGCGTTCCTGTTGGCCCTGGGATTCATTAGTGCACGCCCTTGATCGAGGAGGGGCCCTGACACAGAAAACACTTTGGTCTCGATGAGCTTCGATACTTTGCACTGAGTTTGCAAACGATCTGTGCACTGAACGGTGAAGGTGGCCTTCGGCACGCGCCCACTGCCCCGAAGAGGCCGCTTCGACCCTGTCGGCAGGTCTGCGTGTGTGTGTGTGCGCGCGTGCTAAAGATGGGCGGTGTTGTTGCGGCGACCTAACAGGTAACAGCTGCGTGCGGCCGGCGAGCTGCTTTCCAGAATCCGAGGTTTCAGGGATGAGGGGAGAGCTGCCTCGGGACCCTTGTCCCCTGGGGCTTGTCATGAATTATGAATGTATTGCATTTTGGAGAATGTCTTGATCCAAAGAACAATCACTCCCGTGTGGTCCTTCGTTGCCCTCCTGTTTTGACTTTATTTTCCAGGTCCCGAGTGCGTGAGGGCCTCGGAACTGATGTTTTTTTTTTTTGTTCCAGCCACATCAGGAGTGTCCTAGCGGCACTTCGGTGAGAAGTCTCGTGGCGGCCGGGTACGCCGTGCGGCCGCATGCCGCTGCCGGGGGTGGAGGGGGGCGGGCATGGCCACAGACACTGGCAGAGAGACACGGGCGGCACGGAGGACGTGAGGGGACCCCAAGACAGAGCCCCGGGACCCCGAGCCTCAGTCACTCGCAGAGTATTCAGGACGGCAACAGCTTTATTTTTTGTGTCGTTCTTGTTTGTTTTTCCACCCACGTCCCAAGTGATCCAGTAGGACCTTTGGTGCAGAGCTTAAACTTCCATCAGAAAGCAAACAGCTCCCCTCCGTGGGGACTCGCCTTAAACTTGCTCGGTCTGTACCTGTTTTGCGGGACTCCGGACGAAGCGGTCCTTGACAAAGCCCGAGGCTCTCCTCCAAGCCTGCCTGCACGCTGACGAGAGCCGGTGTTCCCCTCCCGGCTTCTACGCCTTTCCGTTCACCCGTGAGCTGTTTGGGTTTGGGTTTGGGTTTGGGTTTTAACGAACCCGCACCCTGTCCTAGTCAGGCTTCCGCCCCTGCTGACGCAGATCCACGGGGGACCTACCCGAGACACGCAGCTGTAGCCGGGCGAGCAAAGCGGAGGGATGTCCCGGAAACGGACTGAGAGCCCCGGGGCAGGGGCCGTGTCCCCACCAGAGGGACAGGCCCCAGGGGCCCAGACGCGGCGAGCCGCCAGGAGTCGCGCTGCGTCACGCGTCTGCACATCCGTTGTCCGCGGTGGGCGTGTGTGTCCGGCTTCGGTGTGAGGCTTTTAACGTGTGTACCTGTTTATCAATAAAAAGTGGTCCAAGTGGTGGATTCCCGTGAGACTCGGCAAGTGTGTGCAGGTCCGGTGTCCTCGCCGCCTCCAGCACCGCCCGTATGCAACGCGCGGCCGCCCCTGCCGGCCCCAGGCGCTTCGGTAGGTGGCGCGGGTCCTCGCACACTGTCGCTGTCTTCGGTAGTTGGCTTCTCCCTGGTTCCCGGCACCCGCGGCCCGGCAGGTACCGTCACTCCTGCGGCGTTGGCCAAGCCCCCAAACGCTCCTGCGCCCTGACGAGCGGTGTGGGCCCTCGGCGCTGCCCTCGCGGACTTTGCCGCGCCCACACTTCACATCTGCTCCGGCGGGGCGCCTGGCGTCCCACTTCGCTTGGTTGTGAGCATTCCTACAGTGTTTCCGGTGCCCTTTGAAATAAAAACACTTTTTAAAAAATCTGTCTCGTGGATCCAGAGCCCCGGCGCCTACAGCCTCATTCGACAGACGTAGCGTTTGTGCTCGAGGGAGCCACAGGCCCGCGAGCGGGGCGGCCGGGCTGGGCACTCCCACCGCCACGGAGGGAGGAAGGGCCCGCGCCATCCCGTGAGGCGCCTGCTGGCATCCCAGACGGGTGGGAACACGGAGACACGGCCCTGAGCACAGACGCCGGGCCGGCGGCGACCCTCAGGCTCGCGTCCACGCAGGATTTTGCTGCCACGTGCCCCGTGTCCCTCCTCTAAGGGTGTGATGCTGACTCCGTCCACAGGAGTGTGACAGTGGGGTTAAGATGGAGGGAAAACATTATCCGAGTAGAAAGGTGGCTAATCCCGTCTTCCATCGTACGTGAACTCGTTTCGGCCGCCTGAGCGGAGAAGAGCGTCCTGCGGGTGGCCCGGAGTGGCATTCCGACGCTCTCGATGAAAGGGTAAGTGGCCTACACTATGGACCGGGGACCAGATTTAAGACCGTCTCCAATTTGAGCAAAGACAGCCGGAAGACACAAAGCGAAGATACGCCGCTACAGATCTGCGACTGGTTTCGCTTTGTTGTTTTAAAACCTCGCTTATTTAGAGAGAGAGGGAGAGAGAGAATCCAGGCAGGCCCCACACTGTCCGCGCAGAGCCTGACGCGGGGCTCGACCTCACGAGCCTCGAGATCATGACCGGAGCCAAAATCAAGAGTCGGACGCGTCACCGACTGACTGAGCCACCCGGGCATGCCAGGTTTTGCTTTTGATCTGCCGGAGCAGGCAGGGCTCGGTTGCCAGGCCCGATGGAAAGGGCGAGGAGATGGTACGCACAGCACATCTGCCGTCTGGGGCACGCTGCCGACTTTCCCTTCCCCTCCCCTCTTGCCCCCTGTATCCGCACCCCGATACCGTACGACAGCTCGAGATGGCAGAACAAATGCTGCTCAACGAAGTAGGGTCCTGCGACAGGGTTTGTTCCTAGAGCTAACGGTGCCGCGTGTGTGCCCTGTTCCCCGTCACTAAGTCTCCCTCCGCCCCAGCCCGCCTCCCTGGTTACGGGGTGGTTCCTGCCTTGCCGCCCGCCCTGCTCCAGGAGCCTCGGCTTCTCCGGGGGTGCCGCACAGCCGTCCTGAGACGGCGTGCGCTCAGGCTCCCCGCCCCCCGGGGTCCACGTCTGGATGCCACAGCTGCCCCAGCACATTGCTCTGCCAGTTCCCTGAGGAGGTTCGAGGTTGTCAGCACGTTAGCCTGTTTGCACATACCTGTATCCCACGGTCGTCTCGGCTGACGGGCGCCGTAAGCCAGACTGCGGGTTCTGATTCAGTCTTTCATCTGCTGAAGAGGGTCTGTGCCTCCTCGGATGGAACCCGATCTCCTCTGCTCGGGCTCGTGCACCCCTTCTGTCTCAGACACGTGCCTTTCACTTTAAAAAAAAAATTTTTTTTAAAGGTTTATTCATCTTTCAGAGACAGAGGCAAAGCATGAGTGGGGGAGCGGCAGAGAGAGAGGGAGACACAATCTGAAGGAGGATCCAGGCTCCGAGCGGTCAGCACGGAGCCCGACACCGGGCTCAAACTCACAAACTGCGAGACCATGACCTAAGCCGAAGTCAGACGCTCAACCGACTGAGCCACCCAGGCGCCTTTCACTTCTGGGGGCCGGGGGTGCTGTGCTGTGTTACGTCTTTGTGAACTTCATCCTGTCCACTTTGTTTTTCTCCTACAGATTGAATGTTGCACTGCCTAGACTGCTCCTCTGATTTTCTTTCTTACCGTCTATTCTTTGTTTCCTGGAAATATCCTTAACTTTGTCTCCTAGGTGAATATTTTATTCAGGCAGTGGTAGTTTTAATATCCGAGAACCTTTTGTTTATCCTTTGTTCTTTTCTCCCTTTCTTAAAAAAAAACAAAAAAAAACCACCCAGCTTTTTAAAAACCTGGTTTTAGATTTACAGCAAAACTGTGGGGAACATTCGGTGGGTTTCCGAATGCCCTTGTTCCCCACTCCCGGCCCCCAGCAGAGGGCGCCTCTGTTATAGTGGTGAGCTGACCCGGACGCATCATTCCACCCAAAGCCCGTAGTTCACATTCGGGCCCACTCTCAGTGTGAGCTCTGTGGGTTTGGGAAAACGTGTAAGGACAGGTGTGCACAGGTATCTGTACTGCCCTGAAGAAACCTCTGGGCCCCGCCTGTTCGTTCCTTCCCCTCCCCCCACCCGGCAGCCGCTCATCTTTACTGTCTTCATAGCTTTGTCTTCCAGAAAGCGTCGTGTCGTTGGGCTCAGACCAGACGCAGAAACCGTTCAGATTGGCTTCTGTCACTTAGTGACGAGCATACGCGTTTCCTCCGTGGCTTTTCGTGGCTCGGGAGCTCATTTCTTTTTAGTGTGGAGTGATAACTTCGTTGCCTGGGTGTGCCGCAGTTACTTTAGCCACCCACCTCTGGAAGGGCATCTTGGTCGCCGCCCAGCTCTGGCAGTTACGAGGAAAGCTGCTACCGACGTCCGTGTGCGGGTTTCTGTGTAGACCTAAGTTCTCACCCCGTGTCTTCTGCCCTGGAGTTGTGCAGTCGAATCCATTTTGAGTTGAGTTTTGTGTAGGTGGGAAGGTAAGGGTCCAATTTTCATTCTTCTGCATGTAGATCTCCAATTTTCCCACCAGCATTTGTTGAAGAGACTGTCCTCTCCCCATTATGCGTTTTTAGCACCCTTGTCAAAGATCAGCTGACCATAAATGCCTGGGTTTATCTCTAGGCTCTGTTCCGTTCCGTCAGGCTGTATGTTTGTGCTTATGCCATTACCATACTGTTTTGATTACTGTGGCTTTGTAATATATTTTGAAGTGAGGAAGTGTGATACTGCAGCTTTATTCTTTGCTCTCATGATTGATTTGGCTATATGTCATCTTTTCGTAGTTCTAGATGAAGTTTTAAATTATTTTTCTATTTCTCTAAGAAATGCCATTGGGACTTTGACAGGGATCACTTTGAATCTGTAGATCAATTTGGGTAGTGTGGACATTTTAATGATCCAATTCATGAACATGGGATGTGTTTCCATTTGTGTCTCTAACTTCTTTTCATCGATATTTTAGTAGTTTATACAAAGTTCTCCTTATAAGTTTATCCCCAGGTATTGTATTCTTTTTGGTGTAAGTGGAATTGTTTTCGGAATACCCTCTTCAGGTAGTTTGTTGTTAGTGTATACGTATGTGACTGATTTTTTGCATGTTGATTTTATATCTTCCAACTTCTATTACATTTGTTTCTTAGTTTTAACAGTCTTTTTGTTTTGCTTTATTTTTTGTAGAATCTTTAGAGTTTTCAATATATAGGATTATGTCATCTGCAGACAGGGACAGTTTTATTTCTTCCTTTCCAATTTGGATGCATTTTACTTCTTTTTTGTGTTTAAGTGCTCTGGTTAGGATTTCCAGTACGATACTAAGAGTGGTGAAATGGGCATCCTTGTTCCTGATTTTTACTGCTGAGTATGATGTTAGCTGTAGACTTTTCACATATATATTATGTTGAGGTACGTTCTATTTATAGTTGAGCTTTTTTTTTTTTTTTTAAATCACGGAAGGGTGCTGAATTTTGCCAGATACCTTTTCTTCATCTGTTGAGACTAGTGTGAGATCCTTATGCTTTATTCTGTTAACGTGGCGAATCATATGAATTGATTTTTGTTTGTTGAACCACCTGTGTGTTCCAGGGATGACTACCGCTTGGTTGTGGCGTGGGGTTCTTTTAATCTGCTATCGGATTTGGTTGGCTGTTGTTTTGTCGAGGATTTTTGCGTGTCCTCTCATAAGAGATACTGGTCCGTGGTTTTCCTGCAGCGTCTGTGTCTGGCTGTGGTGTCAGGGTAATGCTGGCCCCGTAAAATGAGTTTGGAAGTGTTTCCTCCTTTTCGGTTTTTCCGAAGAGTCTGAGAAGGATGGGCATTAATTCTCTCTTAAATATTTGGTAGAGTTCACTAGGGAAGCCGTCTGGTCCTGGACTTCTCTGTGTTGGGGGGGGTTTTGATTACTGATTCAATTTCAGTATTATTTACAGGACTGTAAAGACTTAATAAAATCAGAAACGAAGGCGGAGACATCACAACCAATGCCACAGAAGTAAAAACAGCCACGGGGGACTACTATAAGCAATCATATGGCGCCTCACTGGACACTGAGAAGAGAGCGTATTGCCAGAAACGTACAGCCTATCGAGACCGAGTCACGAAGAAACAGCATAGCCCTCAGAAAGAACCGACAAGGACAAGTGCCGGGGGGGTGTGCGGGGAACAGGACGCTCTGCGTGAGTGTTCCGGGGTGCAGCCGTGTTCATGGCACATATTTTGAGGAAGGATTTTTTTGGGAGGAGGAACTTGAGACCTCAAACTGATGAACAAGGAGCATTTCCACTAAAGGAAATGTTTGACTTCACCATACTTCGTCTTTCATTCCTCTTCTCATTTGGATGGTCATCCTTGGGGACGCCAAGGAGGGAGGAAGGTGGGGGCTCCTACCCGGCCCAACAGTTCCCAGGGGAACCCCAAACAGACAAGCACCCAAGCCTGCTGCAGGGCACACGAACCTCCGAGAGCCTGAAAGTGGCCACAGGAACGTCTGCGAGGTGACGGGTCGGACGTGAACTTGGCCCCTGCACGTTTTCCAGGAAACACAAACACAGCAACTCCAGGAAAGACTGGACGAGCGCAGAGGTCCACGGTGACGTCACTCGATCCCACGGACGAGACTCGGTATCGCCACTGTCACGCTGCCTCCCTTCTCGTGTCTGCCAACCCAGATCCTGGAGGTACCCGGCCCGTCGTGCAGCCGTCTCCCTTGGGACCGAGTTGGGCAGTGGGCGCTCTGCTGCGTGGATGAGATTTTCTTTGGCGCCGGCACATCCCAACGAGATGATGAGATGGGAGCAGGCTTGTACGTTCACTTAGGACCCTCGTGCCCCTTGGGTTCTTCTTAACAGTGGTCCCACGCATGGGCCCTTGGGTGCAGAAGCTCAGTAAACACAGCATTATCCTGACTTCACGGTCAGGCTCGGCCGTGTCACGGGCACGACCTACAAGGTGGCGCGCCAGCTCTGAAATCCCTTCTGTGACAAGCTCCTAACGTGGGGCGACCGAACGCGACGTGCCCCTGGGCCACGGGGAGGCATGCGTGTGTGTGCGAGGACACTACCCACGTACAGCAACTGGCCCTCCGAAAACCCAGTGGCTTGTCTTCACCTGGCCAGTAGAATTTGCACGAGTTCTGAGAGGAGCTCCCAGTGCAAGGTTTAATAATAACGATGCCCAGGACACCATTTCCACATTTGCAGTTTCCAAGATGCCCTCCTGGACCTGATCGCATCTCAGTACAACCTTGAAGGCAGATAACACTGTGCGCATTTCATACACCAAAAGACCGAGGCTCCCTGAGGTTACAGAAGGTCCTCACAGGGAGGGAAGGAGGAGGATCCCACATGGCCATTCTGGCTAGCATCATCTAGTTCTCCTCTGGTTTTATTTTTCTAAGTACTGAGTTTGAAAAGTAATGAAAATATCTTCTTTGTTTTTTGTTTGTGTTAGAGAGAGAGAGAGAGAGAGAGAGACAAAGCACGAGTGGGGGAGGGGCGGAGAGAGAGCGAGAGAGAATCCCAAGCAGGCTCCTCATGGTCAGCGCAGAGCCCAACACGGGCTTGAACTCACGAAACCATGAGATCACGACCTGAGCTGAAACCGAGAGTCCGACGCTTAACCAACTTGACCACTCAGGCGCCCATAAAAAAACCCTTTTCTGAATAAACAAATCGAAAACAGTAACACGAATTGCATCTTTCACTGAGGTTATTTCAGTAATATTTTTAGCACATACTTCTGAACTGCAGAATATAGCCTCAAAACGCCATCGTTGTTTCCAGGCTGCATCACGGCCCCGCGACCCCCCCCCCCCCCACCGTGCGCTCGAGCGACGCCCGTCCACGTCCCCGTGACCCCTTCCCTCCAGAGAAGCCTTTGTGTTGGTCCCCGCACGTGTGCAGGTGCTGGGCCCAACCCGGGATTTCTGGGCTCTGCTCCGATATTCAGACCTCATACTTTAGTGTCTGGGATGTGTGTGTCCACACCGTAACATTCCCTGGCTCAGACTCCAGACCCACGTGGTCTTTTCTCTGTGAGTTTAACGCAAATCCTGGGGAGGGTGGGGGCGGGGGGGGGGGACAGAGCTGGGTCAATGGCCAGGACACGGCCACCACGGTCTTCATCAAAGCCTGCAGGAGCCAGCTGCGGAGAGAGGGCACCTGGGGACAGGGAGGGCACTCTGGCTCCAAGGGTCCCAGGCGGTGAGTCAGAGAGGCTGCTCCAGGACCCGCGGGTGGCTCCCGGTGGCCATTCATGTCTAACATTAACAGCAGCGACTTCATAATAATGTGAGAAGCTGGCTGACTTCCCAACTCACCTGGTCATCCGGAAGCAGCTCACAGAACTGCAGGAGCACCAATCTCTGCCGCTTAGGTCACCTTGGTGGCCGGGTCCCTGTGCGGGCGGCCAGCCCAGGGGAGGGAGCTCTGAAAGGGAAAGGCGTCAGCTCTCGGCGCGGTATCAGCATCATGCCACCAGAGGGCACCACCAGACCACAGATGTCCCCGTGCCGCGCAGGCCACAGACTCCTACCCGGGGCTCTTCCAGGCCTGTGGTCCGCACACACTTTACGGACACCTAATGCCTACTGTGTGCCAGTGAGGCCTCTGCCCTCAGTAGACATCGGTATGACAAAGAGAATACACAGTTATATACTGTGACTCGTGCTATAAAAGAACAGCAAGGAGAGGGAACATGAGGATGGACATCACGGAGAGTGAGAAATCAGGTAAGGGCCGGGGAGAGAACAGCCATGCAAAGGCCCTGGGGCAGGGAAAGGCTGGTTTACTGCAGTCTATCCACTAGGTTAGTGAGAGTTCCGTCTCTTTGACATCAACCCGGAACGGGAGCTGCTTAAAACCAGAGAATGCTGGGGCGGGAGGAGCTGCTGGAGGCCCACATGGCCCAGCCTGCTGGTCTCAGAGAAGGTGCCCGGGGGCCGACAAATGCCCACACGAACGGTCGCCGGCCAGGGGAGGCAGAGGCTCGTCCGAAGCAGGTTTCCTAAAGCACAGGCTAGCCGTCTGCAGACAGGCCTCTGAAGACGAGGGACTTCAGACACCTTCCTCCGGGGTGGGCAGCCAGGGTCCTCGGTGGGCACACCGAGGGCAGTGGGAGCAGGGGTGACGTCTGCTGTGGAAAGCAGGGGACGGGGGCCGAGCAGCCAGGAGGGGCCCGTGCACGGCTTTTCTCCGACCTCAGTCTAGGTGAGAACCTGTCATCTGGGCAGCAGGGGCAGTGGCCTGCTGGGTGACCTGGGCAGCCTGCCGGCGAGGGGCTCCATTTGACACCCCGACAGCTCGGTGACCAGGCGGCGCCCGTGAGGGTCCCCGCTCCACGGGCGGATTGGCTCCGAGTGGCCGTGGAATGTGGCGGAAAGAGCCTCCCAGATGCGGCTACGGTTCCCATCCCTGCCACCTTCCAGCCGCGTGGCCTGGGGCGCCGCCTTCCCCTCCGTGCCTCAGTGTCCTCGTCTGCGAGATGATGGCTAACGGTTCTGCCTCGTGCGGTCTGCGGGGGGACTGGAGCCACGGGGCTGGCCGCGACGCCTGTGCGCGGCAGGTACTCGAGAAACGTAGTGCCCGCTACGGGGTGGGGGCTTCGCGGCCACGCAAGACCTCACGCCCGCCCGCCGTGCAGCAGGCGGTTGGGTTCCTCGTCTGTCTCTTTCGCCCTTTTCTTGGTTTTTCCGGACTAACCCTGTGTTCTCGCCTGAGATGGTCTTGCGGGCTTTTTTTTTTTTTTTTTCTTTTTAAACAAATAAAAACTCAAGCAGCTCAACAAAACCGAGTCCGTTTACAACAAAGTCCCACCAGAGCAGACGTTTAAACAGGCCACGGCTTAGGTCTTGAGAAGCCAGAAGCATCTCGATGTTTGCCCGGGCCTTTCTCCGCTGGGGGTTCTTTTCCACCCGCCCTCCCTTCTCCCAGCAGAGCCCGAGGAGGTGGGGGCGGCCGTCCAGGTGCTGGACCAGGGGTGGGCACTCTGCCCCCGGCTGCGGGAGACGCTGCGGGCCGGTGCTTGACCCGGATGTGGCCCCGGGGCTTTGGTAAAATACCTTGAGTGAGTCTCACGCGTACACATCAGGAGAGCTCACCTGGAAATGCAGAGTCACGGCTTCCCTGGGTCCCGGTTCCTACCTGGCCAACCTAGCTGGCAGCCGCTCCCCTAAATGCACACGCGCCCAGGACAGCATTTGAATTGTTTTTATTTTTATTTTTTAAAGGGAGCTCTGTGCACAGTGTGGGGCTCGAACTCACGACCCCGAGATCAGGTCGCATGCTCTGCCGACTGAGGCAGCAACGGCTTGTTTTTCTTTTGAAATAACATATCGAAGCGAAGTTCGCGTGACATACAACTAACCGTTTTAAAGTCAGCAGTCGAGTGGCATTCCGTGCCCTCCGAGCGTTGGGCACCCCCACCCCGGGGAGCCCCGCGCCCGTCAGCTGCCGCGCCACTCCTCCCCCGCTGGTGACCACCCATCCGCTTTGCCTCTGTGGGTTTGCGCCTGCCGGACGCTTCTTACAGATGGAGTCGCACAAGTATGGTCGCCTCCCTTCACGTGGCGCGTCTTCAGGGGCCACCCGCGTCGTGGCCCGGGTCACAGCTCCGTCCCCCGCCTCGACACACGTCTACCCCCGGGAGCCCAGCCCCTGTCCCCACCCCACCGAGACTGCTGGCTCCCTGCAGCCCCGAGGGCCACTCACGCTAGCAGCTGGCATCCTCTCCGGGAGCACGGGCCCAGACGGCCGGCCACAGAGTGATGTCCTGGCCGGCCCCTGTCCGGACATGCACGCCCATGTCTGTGTGCACGCGTGCGTTACGCGACGGCCACATCACTGTCGGGCACGTGGCTGTTTTTCACTCGATGGTGTATCTTGGGGATCATGCCACACCCACGCAGAGACCCCCACCTTGTTCCCTGCTTCACAGGGTTGCACTGCACGGCTGCCACACCTACGCGGGGAGGGAGGTCCCCGGCCCTCCACCACCGTGACCCTCGGGTGTGGGCCAGCCCTGCCCGCGCTCCCACACCCAGCCTGGCCGAACCCTGGGCCCCATGCTGGATGGGAGAGGGAGGTCAGAGATGTCCTCTGGTTTCCTGGCCTCTAACCTCCCAGGACCAACGCCTGACGGCATTTGTACCTCACGGACAGGGGGAAGATGCCTATTAATTGAATGAATGAAAAAGTGAATGGCTCCTTCTCATTGTTTAAGGCCTAGATCAGATGTCACCTCCTCCACGAAGCCTTCCCAGGGTCTTGGCCCTTCCTCTGGGCCCGCGGGCCCCTATGCTCGGCACAGCACGTAAGCCCACTGGTTGTGGCCGATGGGTGCGGTGTTGGCGGCCACCACACTGGCTTCCACTGGTCCTGGTATCTTCCAGGGGTGGGCAGGACCCCAGCACAGAGCTAGGGGTGAACGGAGAGGCAACGATGCCCGGTACGCAGCCAGGGGATGAACGGATGGGGAAATTCACATCTGTCGTCATCAACGCCACATCTAAGCACAACGAACAGTTTCTAGGTCCACCCAGCTCTGCAGTCACACCCATTTTGCAGACGAGGAAGCTGAGGCTTTGAGAGATTCAGCATCTTGCGTGACGCCACACGGTTCCTGAGCGGAAGCCCGGCTGACCCAGGCTGACCGCATCTCTCCGGCTCTTCCCCACCCTCCTGTCGGGGCTGGAAGGGACCACAGGAGCAGAGTGTGCAGGGGATGCTGGGTGGTGAGCTGAGGTTCAGGGGGAGGCGGGAAACACGACCCACCTCCTGGCCCTCTCCGGGATGCCGGCGTGGAACATGAGGACAAGGGGGAAAGAGGTGACCCCATGGCCGCGTTGTGTTTGTACACGCTCTGTATAAGAACCAAGGCTGGGGACCAAGCCCTTGGCAGTGGGAGGGAAGGGGCTGGACAAAGAGCCAGCCCCGAGGAGACCCACCGGACCGCCCTCAAAGCCATTCCCCCACCCCGGGCGCCTCCTGAGGCTGGGGCCGCCATACTGGCCCCAAAGTCCAGGTCATGATCTGCCCCCCTTTGGGGACAGTGGGAGGGAGGAACCCGTTCACTGAAGGGAGACTGAGGACGGCTAAAAGAGGAGAAGCAAAGCGGGGCCAGGAGCTCGTAAGATGATGCGCACGCACAAGTACATCTACGCGACGGGTCCCCCCCCCCCCCCCGTAGGGGAGGTCTTCGCCCACTCAGCTTCCTCCTCCTCCTCCTCCTCCCTGCCTTCCGGAGTTCTGTTGTTCCCAGGCTGGTTCCAGATTTTAGGCAGAACTGGGGGGAAATAGAGGGAACCAGGACCTACAGAGGCAGGAGAACCCAGGTGAGGGTTCTCCCTCTTATTGTGGAGACTCCGGACCCTAGAGAAAAGCGATGGGAAAACCAGCAAAACCGGGGAGAGGAGGCCTATCTTCATCATCGAGCAGGGTTGAGGCCGGGGAGGGGGGTGCAAGGCCAAACACGAAAGCTGGATTTGGGAGGTGAGGTCTGGGGTCGCTGCAGGGGGGTAAGGGAGTCGTGGAGAAGCAGCCGCAGGATTTGGGAACCCTAATAGTGGGTTAAGAAGCAGATTCCCTTAGGGGCTCAGTCAGTTAAGCGTCTGACCTCAGCTCAGGTCATGATCTCACGGTTTGTGAGTTCAAGGCCCGCACTGGGCACTCTGCTGTCAGCACGCAGCCCGCTTCGGATCCTCTGTCCCAACCCCTCCCCTTCCCCCCCCCCGCCCCTCCCCTGCTTGCTCGCTCACTCTCAAAAATAAACATTAAATTTTTTTTTTAAAGTAGATCCCCTTAATGTTTCTAGGGCATTGCAAGTACTACTCCAGATTCCCTTGTGGATCACACTTGCCTGCAATGCCGTCCAGACTGTGCTATCTGGAACCCCAGCTCGTACTAGGGTCACATCCACAAAGCCCATCTCACAACGAAGAAATAACGTAATCCTTCACAGCTCGGAGAGGCTGGGGGTGTCCTCATCCCACATCAAAGATGACAGAACGGAGGCACAAGGAGGTCACGTGTGTGGCCCAAGCTCACGGAGCTAGAAAGGGGCCAGACCGGGACAAACCCCGTGTTCTCCGGACCCCAAACGCTGACCTCTTTTCTCTACCCAGCTCTGCCCCTGGGGAACGATCCTATGACATGAATTGTCTCTCTCTCTCAGAGTTCAGTGTTTGGGGCCAAACCTGAGTGAGGTTTGCTGCCTCTGAAAAGGTTGGCCTGACCTCAGGGCGCCAACGCCCGGCCACCGGCAAGAATCCCCTGTTGGTGGGGATGGGCTGGCGGGCAGGCTGTTCTGGACACAATTCAGCAGAGACTCAGATGACCCAACAGACACTGGCTGACTTCTGTGGTCGAGACACACGGGACAACTGCAAGGTGTCAAGGGTGGCAATGCCCAGCGTTGGCACGGAAGAGTGGGGGATGGGCTCCTCCAGTGTGTGCCGGTGGGAGCTTAAACGTGTACCACTTTTTGGAGAGCCGGCTCGACGCTGTGAATCCAGTGACTTCAAAAACACGAGGTCTTTGACTCGGCAGCTCCACTTCGAGAAAACACAGCCCCAGGAAATAACCGTGCGCGATGTAATTATTCTCCTTCACGCGTCCGTGGGCCTCAGACGGAGGGCCCCGCGTGGTCGGTGGAGTTCGTATCTGACTGCTCGACTAGAACAATTTTCTCCCACAGGCTGGCTGGGCTGCCCCCCAAATGGGACGGCATGCTGGCTGCTTTTAAAAATAGCGCCTAATGAGGCATACAAATTTCTATTTATGTCGTGGGGCTCGGCTTCCCATTCCAGAAGCCACAGGATTTTCAGTCTGGAGCGGACCTTAGGGATTTTCGAGTCCAACACTTCCCAAAGCGTTATCGCCTGAGAGGGCAAGTTAAAGGGCGGGTGAGATGCTTTTGGGGAGCGAATGATCACGGGTGACAGGAAAGTGGAACCTGTTCTTCCCTGCGGGACTTCTCAGGGCCTTTGCCACACGATGGGCACTGCAGGCAGAGGGAGGGTGCGGTGTTTCTGAGCCATGTTTGGCCGCTGCCTTCATCTTCTGGGGGCTGCTGTGACAAAGGACCAAGAACTGGGGGTCCTGAAGCAAAGGACGTGTTCTCTCACAGCTCTGGTGGCCGCGAGCCCGAGATCAAGGCCTTGGCGGGGCCGAGCTCCCTCTCACGGCCCCAGGGGACGATCGGTTCTTGGTGGCCCCAGGCCACCAAATTTCCTCTTCCTACAAGGACCCCACATCTTTGCACCAGGGCCCACCCCACCCTAGCATGACCACCTCTAAACTTGATATCTGCTAAGACTCTATTTCCAAATAAGGTCACGTGTTACAGATGGCCACGAATGGTTGGGCCAACTGTTCACCCCGACACAGACGGAAAGCCCTCTTAGCCTTCTAAGCTGGGGAGGCACAGGAACACCCCCTGACCTGCCTCATTGGGACGGAACGTAGGGGCGGTGAGGGGGAGGGGCACAGGGACAGCAGCGGGGAGCCCCCGGTGAGGTCCAGGCGAGAGGAGAGGTGGCTCGGGCCAGGCAGAGGCAGGTGCAGGTGGGGGGAAGTGGCTGGCCCTTGGGCTGCATTTTGAACACCCAGCATCTGAACGTGTGACGCCAGAAAATGAGGCATCAGGGGGTAGGGGCCCGAGACGTCAGAATGACAGAGGTGCCCTCAGGGGGGACAGCCAGCTGGTTACCAGACAGTTTCAGGAGGTCTGTTTTGCCACCAACGACGAGCCGGTCCCCTAGTATAGCCGTCAGCCCCAGCTGCAGCCCGCTCCTGTTTCCAGAGAGGTCCCGCTCCCAGAATGGCCCACGACGCCCCTCGGCCCCGAGCCACCTCCCATCTCACGCCCCAGGGGCCTACACTCTGCCTTGCACCCCAACTTTCTGCACCCCACGTGCGTGTCCTGTGGGACACGCCTGCCTCCCTGCCAGACCGGCCGGACCTTCCGCCGGTCACTCCCCCTCTAGGGGCCTTGCGGTCCCCTTCTGAAATACGGGGTTCCAGGGCTGGAAGGCGGTCGTCTCGCGGTCGCCCTCCCAGCCCCGGTGGCTCTGCAGAAACAGCACCCCGCCCACATGCACGGGGCCCACGGAGCCTTCCCGGCAGGCGGTGTGTGCCTGGCCTGTTCTGGAGACGGGAGGCCGTACCCGGTCTGACCCCCCGCTCCAGGACGGGCGCCACTGTGGGTGCTCAGCAGACAACAGGGCCTGCACAGTGCAGGAGAGGTCACCTGGGTGGGGAGGCTCCTGTGGCTTCTGGTGGCTCTCAGTGGCGGTGCGGCTTGGGCCGGGCTGACCAGCCGGGCTCCAGGCGTCCAGCGGCCACAACCTCAGGCCTGGACGGAGCCCGCTTCTGTTTCGACAGGGCCGAGGGCGGTGTGAGCTCAGGGAAACGGGTCGCGCTGCCCGGGCTGGAGTCACCGACCAGCTCGCTGCCCCACAGTCGCCTCCCAGGCTCTCCACGAAGCAGGTCACAGAGCCAGGCGGCTGTCCTCATCTGAGCTCGGAAATTTCTTGACCTCTCCCCTCTGCCGGGAACTCCGAGGACTCGGTCCAACATCTGGGCGGGAAGGAGGCTGACCCGGGCGGGCAGCGGGAGACGCGGTTGTGGAGAGCTGAGCGACGGCGTGGGCGTGGGGAGCCCCCCGAGAGCCTTGGTTTTTCCATCTGGGAGACGGGGTGTCGCCGGCCGCCTTCCCTTCAGCAAAGAGCAGCTTAGCCCCCAACAATGGAGGAAGCCCGTAAGCTGTGGACAGAGGCCGGCCTTGCCCTTGGACGTGTTCAGATGGGAGGAGACCAGCACGTTCTCTCGCGTCCGTCTGAGCGGTGACCGGAGGGTGACAGCGGCAGTGGGCGCGGGCAGGTCCCGGGGCTGTTGTAACAAAGGGCCACCAGCTGGGAGCTTAGCCCAGCGGAGGCGCAGTTCTGGAAGTGGGGGGTCTAAGGTCAAGGCGCGGGCAGGTGGCCCCCTCTCTCAGGGACGCTCGCTCGCTGCCCCGGCTTCGGGCGCCCCCGGCAGTCCTGGCGTCCCTGGGCTTACCGACCTGTCACTCCAACCTCCACCTCCACCTCCAGTGTCGTTTGCCCTCCTCCCGGTGTGTCTGTCTAAGTTCCACTCTTCTCACGAGGACCCCGGTCACTGGATCGAGGCCCACCCTAATCCAGCATGACCCCATCCCCCCAGACATTTGCAAAGACCCTATTTCCAAATCAGGGCACTCACAGGTTTGGGGGTAACCTGTCTTTCTGAAGGACACGTCCTTCTCGTGCTGACGGCCCCCCTGGCCATTTTGGGGGAGGGGGGACAGCCAGGCGCAGCCGGGGACCCCTGGGCTGTCCCACCTGCCCTCACAAACATACGTTCCGCGTGTTTCCCTCCCGGGGACGGCCGGCCAGAGGTCAGCCAGCTGCCCGCTGGCAAAGCCAGGCCAGGGCTGGGCCGTGACCCGGGGACGGAGCCCAGCATCCCAGCGCCAGCCCCGCACCCAGGCCGAGTCAAGGATGGGCGGTGAGAGCAGGAACTCCCGGCAGAAAGAAACAGGTGCCTTTGCCTATCAGACCGCAGAATGGCTTGACCTTGTCGAGAGGGCCCCGTGTGACTTCCAGGCCATGTGCTCAGACCCCACGGCAGCACCAGCCCGGCCAGTCCCCTGGACCGGGACCGGATTGGCTCACGCGCTCCCTGGAGGCTGGCCCCGCACGGGGTCCAAAGAACACACTGCCCAGAGAGGTTTGGGGACCAGCCTGAGGTCACACAGCCAGCAGTCGGGGTCTACGCGACGGGCCAGAGGCCTTGCCTCCCGTCCTGCCAGCAGGAACCTCGTAGCCTTTATCCACCAGGATGGCGTCTGGCAGAAAAATCTCTGCACCCTCGCACGCCCATCCTGCCTGGGAGCCGCCGGGGGCTCAGGGCAGCTGGACTCCCCGCTTGGGCCTCTGGGGGGTCACGTCACTGAGCATCAGTTTCCTCCGCGGCGACACGATCACGAGCTGCAAGGCCTGAGTGGCCGAGAGGATTAGGGACCTCCTCCCAGCAAGCGGGCACACAGTAGGTGCCTGCAAAAGGTGACGTTTCGATCTTCTATTGCTTCCGGAACCAGTTTCTGCCAACGTAGCAGCTCAAACGACACCGACTGTCCGCATCCTGGAGGTCGGAAGCTGAGCACAGGTCTCACTGGGCTCAGTCAAGGTGTCTGCAGGGCCGGGTTCCTTTCGGGGGCTCCAGGGGACCACCCCACTCCCTTTCTAGCTCGTAGCTGGGTGTTTTCCTGGGCTCCTGGCCCTTGCAGTGGTGTTCACAGCCAGGAAGTATCTTCCCGAGCCTTCTTCTTCTCTTTCCCTGATCCCAGCTCGAAAGGTTCTGGAATTTTAGGACTCAGTGGTTACCTTGGGCCCATCTGGGCCACCCAGGACGACCTCCGTATCACAAGGTCCCAAACCCAGTCGCGTCTGCAAAGTCCCTTTTGCCGTGTGAGGTCACATACTCACGGGTTCCGGGAATCGGGGCAAGGGCGTCTGGCGGGGGAGGGGGGGGTTGTTTTGCTGACCACAGGTGAGTGGAGCTGAATTGGTTCGGGCAGTTCTGTTTGGAGGCAGAGGATTCCACTGACACCAGCTCATTCAAGAACCATTTCCATCCTTCTGTTGTTTTTGACTCTCTCCAAAGAGGCTCTGTCTAGCCAAGGAGACTGGGTCAGGGCTGCCAAACCTTCGCTTCCAAGTAAACCCTACTAGGAAATTTCCATGGGACCAGGCCCTTTTCTTCCCTCACAAACCTGCCTGAAATCCCAAGCCCAAGCCAGGCTTCTTGCGGAAAGGCCATCGGACCCCATGCTCTCCAGAATGGGGCTTTTGTCTTGCTGTTCATTTTGTTTTTCCGCGTCAAGCTACGTGGCATGCAGGCAAAGCGAACTTGGTTTAGGACATCATCATCAACTTGGAAAGGGTTTTCCAGCCCTCCTTGTCAAGAGGGCCTAAAGCATCCCCGCCTAGGTTCTTTGGGGCTCCGTCCCCATTGCCTTCAAGGAGTGCTCAGCCGTCTCGCAAGCCCGGCACGTTCGCAGGGAGCGTGTCTTAGGCCAACACGCAGCCAGGCACACAAATCCCACCCGCCTAACGCCCTGCATCCCTTGACCTTGATTTACCAACAAAGTATTTACCAACGGGCTCGGTGTCGGCCGCTTCCGCGTGGATCAAATGCGTTTGTTTTGGATTTCAAACAGGTTGCGGGGACAGACATCATCCCGTGAGTTCGCCCCATGGTGCTGGTGTCCCCACTTTCCTGAGGAGGGTATGGGTGGGACAGGGGAGGGGACTGGGCCGTGGCCACTCAGCTGCTAAGGGGCAGGGCTGGGGCTGGAGGCTGAGTCTCATCACTTTACATCGTTCCAGTCTCTGGTGGCAACACTCTCTACGGTGATAAGAAATCTACGTGGTCGGGGCGCCTGGGTGGCTCAGTTGGTTATGCGGCCGACAACAGCTCAGGTCATGATCTCACAGTTCATGAGTTTGAACCCCGTGTCAGGCTCTGTGCTGACAGCTCAGAGCCTGGAGCCTGCTTTGGCTTCTGTGTCTCCCTCTCTCTCTGCCCCTCCCCTGCTCATGCTCTGTCTCTGTCTCAAAAATAAATAAAACATTAACAAAAAGATTTTTTTTTCAAAGAAATCTATGTGGTTTTCGTTCCAGCTTCCGGGCATAAGAGCTCTCCTAAAACCCTAGTAACTTCTTCATACGGGCATCTTTGTTTATCCCTAAGGAGACCGCTTCAACCACACCTGAGTCTATGCTAACGAGGTGACCCTTGTGGCCCCTGAGGAACCAGCTGGGCAATGAGAAGGTTGGAATTTGCAGCCCTACCCCCAAGCTCCAGGCAAGGGAGAGGGGATGCAAACTGAGTCAGTCACCAGCGGCCGGTGACTACTCCCATCATGCCTTCCTTACGGAACCTGTATAAACACTCTGAATGAAGGGGTTTGGAGAGCCTCCGGCTTGGTGAATGCACCCATGTGCCGGGAGGGTGGCACCCCCCAATCTCCATGGGACAGCTCGTCCTTCTGGACCTCGCCCTGTGCACCCCTTCACCTGGCTGTTCATTTGTGTCCTTTATAATAAACCAGTAAATGGAAGTAACATTTCCCTGTGAGCTGATCCAGCAGATTCTCAAACCTGAGGAGGGGGTGGGGGGAACCCTCAAAGTGCAGCCAAGTCGGACAGAAGTGTGGGGGAACCTGGGGACCCCCTGCTTGTGACTGGTATCCGAAGTGGGGCAGTCTTGGGGGTCTGAGACTTACACTATGGGGTCTCCAGGTAGCGTCAGGATCGAATTAAGTTTAGGACACCCAGCCGGTGTCCACAGTGAACTGGAAAACCCATTCATTTGGTGTCAGAAGTGTTATAAGTAAAAAAACAGATCTGTATTCCTTTCGTGCATTTGCTCACTCAGCGTTTGGTAAGTTCGTCAAGTCAACTTTGTGCTGCTGATAAAGTGATGGACCAGAAAGGCACATTCCCTGTGCTCCGCAGCCACGGCCCCCCGGGACCCTGCCTCCCAGGACCACTGTGTCACAGCAGGCATTCTGGGTCAGTTGGTATGGGGTGGGGCCATCCCTCGGGTAATTCTTTAAATTCCTTTTTAATTTAGGTATGTGGCAGGCTGGATAATGGTCCCCAAAGACACCAGGTCCCAGTCCCTGGAACCTACACACATTAGCTTCCATGGCAAAGAGTTTCCAGACACAACTAAGGATCCTGAGATGCGTCAACGATCCCGGATCATTGGGCCCGGTGAGCGAACACTTGCGTCCCTATAGGGAGGGAGAGGGAGATGCGACCACAGAAGCAGAGATGGGAGGGATGTGGCCACAAGCCGAGGACAGCTGCCAGCTACCAGAAGCCGGAAGAAATGAGGAAGGATCGTCTCCGAGAGCCTTCGGAGGGAGCACGGCCTTGACACCTTGATTTCACAGTTCCGGCTTCCAGAACCGAGAGAGAATAAAGCAGCTCTCTCACACCCCCCAGGTTGATCGTATTTTCCTACAGCGATCACAGCAAACCAACACAAGGAAGGGCTTACATTCGGCGAGAGGCGCAAATCATCAGCGCACGACCCGGGCACACGTACCCACACGTCACTCTGTAGGCGACCACGGAACATCCCCAGCATCCCCGGAACGCACCCTGGACATAACTCGCTCTCCCCACCGCTGCCCGAACAGATTAGTTCTGCCTGTTGTAGGGCCTCATATACACGGGATCATACGGCGTGGGCTCTGATAGGAGGCTGCTTTCTCTCCGCTCACCATCAGTGAGATTCCCGCAGGTCGTTGGTTTTTTTCCTTCTCTATGGATATCATTCCACCGTACGAAGAGATCATAACTGGTTCATCTATTCTGTTGAGGGGCCCTGGGGTTGCTCCCAGTTACCAGCTATTACCCACGAAGCTGGTAGGAACCCGAGCCTGTGGTCTTTTGCGGACGTACACGTTCATTTATTTCAGACCCACACCTGGGTCCGGGCTGGTGCGGTTCTGTAGCCTCCCAGGTGATCCAAATGCGTCATCAGGTGTGAGAACCGGTGCTCTAGACTGGCGGTCCCCAAATGGGGCTGCCTTTGCCCCCCAGGGGACCCTTGGCAAGGTCTGGAGACGTTTGGGTTGTCGCAGCTCAGACGGAGGGGGGGGGTGGGGAGGGGACACTAACGGAGTCTAGCGGACGGAGGTCGGGGAGGCCGCTAAGCATCCTACTGCACAGAAGGCAGCACCTGCCCCCGCCGCACACACGCCCCAATGGCCAGGAGGCCTGAGAAACCCTCCTGCAGACCGATGTCACGACCACGCGCATGAGTAACCCACCTGCTCGAAAGCTGCAGCGCAGAGAACCCGGTTCCTGCGGAGAGGCGGGCCGGGCCGGCAGCGGTGAGGGGCGGAGCCGCGGGCAGATCTTTCTCGAGCTTTGTGGAGATCTTTCTCCAGTGGCCTCCTCCGCCGTGGGCCTTGAGCCGCGGCTCTGAGGCGACTCCCTGCGGCACAGGGGCGCTGGGTGCATTTCTGACACCGCTCCCCCGTTCTGCAGTTTCTTCCCGGGTCTGTTGGTTCCAGGGACACGGAAACCCCCCCCCCGGGGGGGGGGGGGCGGCGGGACGCACGTCTTCTCAGGCGCTGCTGCCGAGGTTTGCTGAGCGAGGGGAGGAGTGGGCTTCCCACGCTGCGCTGTTCCAGGCGCAATTCCAGGCAGCGTGGCGCAGGGGGCGCTGCAGTGAGGTTGGCGTGTTCACCCAGCGGATCCCAGCGACCTCCTTCCGCCCGGGGATGCCTAACGGTGTCGCGCAGGCAATCTCGGGGCCTCCGTGTGCGGGGGCGATCGGCTGGCTGTTCACCCCCCCCCCTTTCCTCTTCCTCCTTCCACCTCTCCCAGCATCCCTTGCAGTCAGGTGCGGCCATGTGACTGAGTGCAGGTGGAAGCCGCGCTGCTCCTAAAAGCCTCCCACACCTGCTCCTCCTGGCTCTGGCCCTACCTGCCAGCTGGGAGCAGAGGGCGGCTGGTGGGTGGCGCAGCCACAGACAGGAACAGCCTGGTCCCTAAGTCCCCTGCTGGAAAAGCCACCCACCGCCTGCTTGGTGCTACTGAGCGGAAAACAAACTCCGGGTGTGCGAAGCCACTGAAATGTGGAGGCCAGCTTGTTATAGCAGCTAGTGTGTCCTTAACTGGCACCCCAGGCTTCCCCAAACTGGGGATCGGGTTGGCGCTCCAGGCTTCTCCAAACGGGGATCCAGTTGGCACCCCAGGCTTCTCCAAACTGGGGATCGGGTTTCAAGTCCACTCCAGTAAGAAGTGATTCCTCCCCCAACAAGGA